GCTCAACTAAGAATAGCAGCCTATCAGCAGCACGTGAAAAGCTTTTTCGACTCTAAGGTTAGAAAAAGAGACTTCGAGGTCGGTAACCTCGTTCTGAAGGAAATCCTTCTCGGTACAAGAGAACCAAGTACGGAAGTATTGGGGCCGAATTGGGAAGGCCCGTACTACATCGCCAAAGTGATAAGACCGGGGACTTATCACCTCAAAAAGCTAAACGGTTCTGAAGTACAGCAAGCTTGGAATGCTGAGCATCTCCGCCCATATTATCAGTAATTTCGAACTCATTTTTTCCTTGTATAGATTTTTACTTTTCTCAAGCTTTGTAAATAATATAAGTTCTTTTGTAATCGCTTTTTCTACATGTATACAATTATGTTCGCATAGATATTATTTGTATGAATGCTATTGTAAGTAGTTAGAATGCGACCTCATGTGTAACGTTTGTGGGGTACGAAAAATTATAAGTACTCACAAAAGATTTAGAAAGTTATGTCTTTATTTATTATGATAAAAATAAAAAGTACAAAAAAGCGAGCATAGGAAGGGCAGTACAAAAGCAAAGGCAATCAATGGCCTTCATCCCCAGGTCCCAGAGGTGCGACCTCAGTGTCCCCAGGCTGGTCGCCAACCACATGGCCAGTCGTGAGCTCCTCTGAGACATACTTCGGATGCTCTTCCGGGTCAGGTTCTTGGGCTGCCTTCTCTGCCTCTTCATCCTTAATCCGCACCATGGAGGCGAGGATGTCCTGGTATTCGTTCGGGAGGTTAGTCAGATTGATATGAGGATTCTTCGGCCGTAGGGCATAAATAGACTGAATTGCCCATTCAGCAGCCCTCTTCTCGATCTCTAACTCTTGTCGCCGTATCTCTTCGGTCAGCGAAGCGATACGACCTTGGTTGAGTTGGAGTTTAGCCTTAAACACCCATTTTTGCTTCTCGATGGTCTCCTACAGCTCCGTCCTTTCCCGCTCTGCTCGCAAGGCCTGCTCAGAGTTCGTTTGTAGCTCATTTTCTTTCTTACCAGCCTCCTTGGTGAGTTTGGCCACCGTCCTTTGGAGCTCCTTTACTTCCTCTCTTCTCTTCTCTAGCTTGGCCTTCTGATAGTCCACCGTACGAAGAGCAGCATTCCTTTCAGACAGGTACTGGTTTGCCTGAGTGGTGGATAAGTCTTTCTCTGTTTCGACGGCTTCTAAGTCACGTTTAAGCCGCGCGTTCTCCTTTCTTAGCTCGACCAACCCCTCAGCAGCTCCCAGCTGAACCTTCTGCAAGGACAAGTGCATGGAGATTAGGGCTTGTGAACGAAGAGAGTAAAAATTTAGTTTCCTTTCTACTGAAAAGGGTAAGTGTAAAGTCCTCATCGAGGACATCTCGTTTTACCTGGCTTAGGTGCTGAAAGGATATGGACATCAGCTCCATAGGGTTGGAAGCCACGAACTTCTCGAACGCCTCCACGAGCCTGCACTCTAGCAGGGTAAATACCACCGACTGCAGATGATCCGAAAGTTACCCCATCGAGTCCAGCATGGGTGTGCTTATGCCCATGCCTGCAGCAGGTAGCGTCTCGCCTGCTGGTTTCTTGCTCGGTCTCCTTCCAGGATCCGCAGCCTCGCTCTGCCTCGTTCACGACCCCTCCGTAGCAATGGAGATGTCGATCGCGCCCCTAGAAGGCCCTCCCGAGCAGAACGCTTGGTAAGGTTGCAACCTCTAGGACTGAATGCCCAGACCCTCCGTTTCAGACTCAAACTCTTCGACCCGAAGTTCTTTTCGCTTCTTGGACTTTTAGGCCATGGTCTTATGCTTCGGGCAAACAGTTGAAGGCTGGGGAGCGCTTTCAGGTCGAGCTGAAGCACCCGCTAGTGTCTTTCTGATGGGGGGACTGTTGGGAGCCGCTCTAGCCGGTCTGATAACTTTTACTCCAGGGAAGGTGAACTGCCTTGGTCATGGCGACTTGGGCATTTTGGGAGGCATGGTCGCTGCATGCGAACATCATTAGTAAAATAGTTCGCTACATGCAAAGTCAAAAGAACAAGCTAAGGTTATAGTACTCACTCGTTATGGTCTCTAAGGTCGCCTTGGGATTGAAGAAACCGTATCTCTGCAAGTTTGCAGTTGTTATGAGCAGTCTTGTGTCGCGACTCTCTTCGGCAAAAAGCCGAAAACAGTGATTCTGTCAGGATCCTCGAGAGCCGATAACTTGGTCGTCTTGTTAACTACGAAGAAATAAAAGCTCGTTAAGACTAAAAGGAAATTCTCGAAATCAAAGAAAGGAGAACCTACTTGGCTCCTGAAATTGGCAAATGCCATCATATCAAAAGAAGAAAAACTTCATCTCGTACGCCCCAACATTGCTAGGGTAACTATGTATTCTCGCTTCGATTGTAGGTCGCTTCGAGAGATAGAAGGAATCTTTGTCCTTACTCTTCTTCAAGATATACGAGCAACCGAGCTCTAGCGTGGTTAACTCGCCCAAACCGTTTTCGTCGCATGTGATATACATAGCCACGACTATCATATACGCATTCGGCATAAGCTGCAGCGGTGCGATCCCGAAGTAATCAAGGACCGACCTAACGAAAGGGTGGAAAGGGATTAAGCCCCCGCTCTTAAAGATATTCTCGAAGATCACAGCCATTCCTTCTGGCAGATTCCGAGCTGTGTATGTTCTATGCTGGAAGACCTCTACGTTGAGGGCGTATTGGTCTACCACCTCTGGAATCTCCTCGGTAGTGATTGCTGACAGAATCTCTTGAGAGGGGTCCGCTGGAGCATCCTATACCGGCGAGCTAGTTCCCTCATCTTTCCTGGTCATTGAAGGATCCATCTTTTTGTGGTCTAAAAAAAGCTACATGCAGGAATCACTCAGTCATCGTACACTATTTCGTACGATGACATGGAGGAAAAAATAAATGCTTCCTCCCTTAAACCCTAGAAAAACCTTAAAAGAATCCTTAAGCCACCCCTAATGGCTCAAACCCTAGGAAAAAGCTTATTCTCCAGCCAATCACCAGCAAACGATCATCGTTACCGCATGGCTATCATAAAAAAACAGAAAAAGGAAAGTAATAGGAAAATCCTCCTTACCTTTTGAGTATGAAGATTGATCATCCTGCTTCGAGTGTCAAACGCGCACCAGTCTGAAAGACGGAAAACCAAGGCTCACGAAAGTTTCTTGCTTTCTCTAAAGAAGTGAATATTGTGCAAATTACCTGAGGTGAGCCTAGGGTTTTATAGTGAAGGAAGTGGCGTTTGATTTTCCCGAAGTCAAACGACGTTTGAGCGGAAATCACTTCTCACCATTGATTGTAACCACGTGTCGCTAATCAGCAAAGAAGAGTGATCGTCACGTTTCGAGAAACCAAATCGTCGTTCTTTTCCGTTGAAACACTCAAGCGACGGCTCGTTTCCCTTCTCCATATTAAATGCGCTCACATTCGCATTTAATGCTCTGATAGGGAATGTCGTTTTAGCATGGCTTGCATTTAATGCTCATGGTTGGCACTTATTGCGCACATGACACGTTTGTAAAAGCAAAAGGTGTTTTATTTAATGTATCAGTTGCAAAAGTGCAACGGATAACATCTGAAGAGGTCGTTACATTAAACACTCTTCTTCATGTCAATCACAAAGCGACGTGACTCTTTGCCCTCGTCGCATGTCAGTTGCGAAGCGACGTGACTTTGTTTTCAACAAAAAATCCACTAAGTGTAATCAGGTCGAGAACCTTAGTCGAAGACCAGAATTATCGTTATAACCCTAGATAAGATCTAGAACAGGTCGCGGATCTTGAGGAAGATCATTTCAGGTCGCCTGCATGGGAATGATTCTACGACATCTTTGTAACCAGGTCGGATCGACCAGCGTCCATTCGACGCACATCAAATCAAGGCATAATTGTGTAGTTCTCAAGGTTCGATCCTCAAACCTTAAAAACTAGGGGACTTCTATTATGCCTAAAAAAGTAGGGTTGACGCCAAGCCTTGTCAACGTGGACGGTCAGAGCTTAGGTAGGTTCTGTAGTTGTTCAGACGCAGCCACGTCGCATGCTGATGTGAGTGGCATGCTCCTGCTAGTGTAGTGGGTATGCACTAGAGTGGCGAAAGGCTAGAAAAGTTCCACGTGTCCAATTCCTGCACAAGTCGAGGAAATCACTCGAGCAGGTGAGCAATAGGACATAAAGAAGGATTTACATGACAATCTGACTCACTCACAGATTCAGTAATGATTACCTCAATTCATCCCACTATAAATAGAGAGCTCCTCTCCCATTTGTAAGATTGGCTAATTTGTCTCTGAAATAGCATACATTCTCTCTCTCTCTCTCTCTCTCTCTCTCTCTCTCTCTCTCTCTCTCTCTCTCTCTCATGTATTCACTTGTATTTTCTAAGCTATAAATCAGTTCACTGAACGCAACCTGGTCTCATATATTAATACAATACCAGTGGACATAGGATTCGCTCATTTAAGTGTCTGAATCACTTTAAACATTGTTCTTCATTTCTTATTAAACCCAATATCCCTATTTACACGTGTGTATTCTGAGTCAGCTCAGCATTTCTCATGTACGATTAGTTTATGTCAAAATCAAGCATCAACAGAAATCACTAATGACCTTGCATTGTATTTGTAATTTAGGATTCCTGTATTTTGCACATCTTAGTGTCATCGTGTTAAAATATCACAATTATAAATACTGTATAAAACATACGTTTTGGTTTATTTATTTATTTTATTACGGTTTTATTATTGGGTCGGAAAATTACTTCCATTTTTATTTCTCCTTTCAAGGATACCGGGCCAGCTTCTCCTTTGACGGGTTTACGTTGGCCCAATAAATCTTTTGATGGGTTTACTTTGGCCCAATAAATCACCGAGCCAGTACATAAAAAATCCAACAAACAAAGCCCAAATATTACAAATAAACCAAACACAGCCTAGGGTTTTGGCATCAATCACACAAGACGCCGCATATAAACCCTCTTGTTTCTTCCTCCTTATTCCTGTATAGAGTCAGAGATCCTTCTCATTTCATCTGCAGAATCAAAATGGTTACTTTCAGGGTAAGTATATTTTTATCTATTTTTTCTCTCTACACTTATTTGGACTGTTGAAAGGTTGATGTTTTGATGTGGGTTTTGTTTGGAATTGCAGTTTCACCAGTACCAGGTGGTGGGAAGAGCTTTGCCTACAGAAAGTGATGCGCAGCCCAAGATCTACAGAATGAAGCTCTGGGCCACCAATGAAGTTCGTGCCAAATCCAAGTTTTGGTCTGTAATATTCAATTTCATATTTTTCTTTACTTATTTCTTACTTTAATTTAGAATTTAGAATATATATCATTTACAATACATGTCATTTGTATTATGAATCCTGTATGTTATGTCAAGTGTTTTAAAATGAGAATGAATTATAATTTTCAATCCCAAACATGGACATATATGCAGAATTGCTGTGTTGGGTTCTCGCGTTAATCTTATGATGTATAACTGTGCACGTGATACAAGCATGAAGTGTCGTGTGATTGAGTTTTAGAATTGCTTATAATGAGTGACGTTGTCTCTAAATAGTGTGATTTTCTTGGCATGATGCCTAAAGTTTAATTTTATGACATTGCATAGACATGTCTTACGTGTACAGTTATGCATCATAAGGTGGACAATGGTGTCCATCATAGCAGTCTAATTAGATAATGGTGTCCATCATATCGTATATTTGCTAGTGATTTGACAAGAATTATCTGGCTGATTGAATGTTTTCTGGTAATGACATTGCCTTTTTTTTTTTTTTCATATTCTGTCTAGGTATTTCTTGAGGAAGTTGAAGAAAGTTAAGAAGAGCAACGGGCAGATGTTAGCAATCAATGAGGTATGTATAAGTATATTTTGAAATGAAATATATAATGTTTTGCTTTGATGGTGTCTAGTGCATTATAGTATTTTATACACGGCTCACAATTAGCGAACATGTAACTGTTACTTTCAATGGGCCACTTTGAATATTGGTTCTTTTGAAAACCTCTATATGTATATCGATGGACACCTCCTAAACATGTGGTATACGCTATTAGAGAATTATAGTATCCAAAAGACTTGAAATGAAATTTTTATCATGCTAACTTTGTCATAACTTCTTTTCTCTTGTTTTTATGCAAATGAAGACTTGAGTGTATCTATAGGCATTTTTACGGTTTATTGTTGGTTATTTTTTAATTCCAAGGTTTGGGTTCTGTGGTTAAGACCTTTGGTTTCAACCAAGAGCTCCTTGGTCTTTGACTTTAGCTTGGCTTCTGCTAGAATTTTTAACTGCCTTAATGGGAGAAGTTATGGTTTTAAAGGCTTTAATTTTAGTGTTGTGCCAGCGAAAGTAGAGTTGTTTATATGTATTCTTTAGTAGTGAATAAGATGGCATGATTTTTGGAAAGAAGTTCAGGAAGGGAACCAATACATATGAACAGTAGCATTTTCACATCATTTGAAATGATTGGTGGAAAATGTTTTTCACTTTCTAAAATGAAAGGCTTTTGAAGCATTTCTTAGTAGGGACCAGATATAGATGATCATTCTGTTTTGTACCATTCCTAGAATTATTGATGGCTTTTCTGATCTCCATTGTCTATTGGAATTGAATAGCCTTTGTATCCTGTTATATATTTGTTTGGTCTTCAAATCATGATTAGTAATTTATGTACCATATGTCAGCTTCCGGAAATTATACGAATGAATGTAACTGATATGTCGACATGTTATACGGATTTCAATAATAGCATTTAATCCTGAAAGGATGTTTACCATGTAGTCTATCCTTAAAGAGTGAATGTGAATCTCAAAAACTTAAAACATTTTTTTTTTTTTTATTATTATTTTTTGAAGGTGAAAGGCTTTATTTTTGTATGAAAATATTGTATCTAAAACTTATGGTACTTATACTGCAGATCTTTGAGAAGAATCCTACCAAAGTTAAGAACTATGGTATCTGGTTGCGATATCAAAGCCGAACTGGGTATCACAATATGTACAAGGAATACCGAGACACAACTCTTAACGGTGCTGTAGAACAAATGTACACTGAGATGGCTTCTCGTCACCGAGTGAGGCATCCATGCATTCAGATTATTAAGACAGCCACCATACCCGCAAAGCTTTGCAAGAGGGAAAGCACCAAGCAGTTCCACAACTCCAAAATCAAGTTCCCTCTGGTTTTCAAGAAAGTCAGGCCACCTACGAGGAAGCTCAAGACTACATACAAGGCAACAAGGCCTAACTTGTTTATGTAACTGCCCTGTGTTTCTTACTTCCTCCTATTGCCTGTTTGGGGCTATATGCTATGGATTAATGTTCGTCTTTGCATTTTTGCCCTGCTCATATTGGTTCTATTAGATGTGACTTCAGAAGATGATTATGAACCTTCTTTGGGAAAAATTAAGTTGTTCTTATGAAGGTATTTAGCTTTGACATGATTTTGGCCATGTAAAACTTTTACAATTTTATCATTCTCTTTGTTCTTTCTTTTTTGGGATGAAATGACACAGTGTAGCATTAACAGCCTTGTTTCTAGGCCAATACAAGGAGTAATTGGCATGCTTTCAACTTGGAAATTATAGTTTGAATCCATATCAAATACTGTGGTGCTACAATTGGAGTATGGGATTATAGGATATAAGATTTAATTCAATTGTTATGTCATTTGGGATTGGGATAAACATTATCACTTCCGCTGGACCATTGTGTTGAATTTTATTAATGTGTTTGTATGGGATCCAATGGTCCCAAAGCCTTCTGAGTATGAGAGAATGGTGAGTAAAATCAGCAGTAGCATTGTATTTGTAGGAGTAGGCTTGCAAACGAACAGAACATGAACGAACACCTTCGTTCGAAACTCGTTCGATCGGCACCAAGGAGTGTTCAAAATTGTGTTTGAACTTGAACGAACACAGAATGATTGTTCGAGTTCGTTCGATTAGCAAAAAGATCTGTTCGTGATAGTTCGATTAATTCGTAAATACTTGTTCGAATAACTCGTTCAAATACTTGTTCGAATTAAAAATATGCACCAATTTTCCAATTCATGCTCTAAAAAACAAATATACACCCATATAATTTAGCATTTGAAGAAAATGTAGCTCGAGCTAAAGATAACTAAAACTGAATTTTTCTGTATTTAATGAATAAATGTACAAAAATAGAACAATCCGTTCTTTTATGACAAATACAAAACTCACCGTTTAGTCACCACTTTTAGACTTTACAAAATTATATATATATAATGAGTAATTATGTATATACAAAATTATTATCATACATATATTAATCATAGATTAAATATGTTTAATATGTTATTAAATTATCAAAATTATAGGTTATCATATATATATTATCATTACTGTTTACATATATATTTTATATTAACACCCATAAATTCATAATGGTATGAGGGTCTATTGTAATATATGATCAATATAAATGTGTGATTAATTTTGGTTTAATTAAACTATTATGTTATTAAATTTGTTATGCTATATATCACTTGATTATACAATATGTTATGTTCATAAATTTGACATATTGTATTTAATTAAACTATTATATTATTAAAATTGTCATACTATATATCACTTGAATATACAATATGTTATATTTATCAATTTACAACACTATATTTAATTAAGCTATTATGTTATTAAATTTGTCAAGTTAAATATCACTTGATTATACAATATGTTATGTTCATCAATTTACTATATTATATTTATTATTTATTAGTTGAAATGTTATCTCATAATATTTAATTATTGATTACATTTGAAAAAATATGAAGCTATTATATTATTAGATTTATTATGTTATATATCACTTGATTATACAGTCTATTATGTTATTAAATTTGTGATGCTATGTATCATAATAATTTATTATTTTTTAATTAAAATACTATATAGTTATATATTTAATTATTGATGACATTTGAAAAAAAAAATCCAAACATATTATATATATAAGAAAAACAAAAGTATCATAATATTTTATTATTGATTACCATTAAAAAAAATTCATCTAAATTAAACCAAACATAATATAAAAAAGAAAAAAAATATAAATATATATAATAATGTATAACATGTTTTTCAAACATAAACGAACGAATAATCAAACAGATTGTTCACGAACGGATGGATCGGTTAGTCAAACGTATTATATTCGTGAACATAATCGAACGAACATCCTATATTTGAACTCGAATCAAACATATTATACGAATATAATCGAACAAATATCCTATATTTGAACTAGAATCGAACATATTATCAAACGAGTATTAAACTATTTGTAAATAGTTTCTTATGGAGTAGGGGCAAATAGTTATCGAACAAACATCGTTCACGAACAGTTTGCAGCCCTACGTAGGAGTGATGAGAAAAGGTAGCCACTGATACGTGTGCTACTGAACAATTGGCATTCCAGAAACTCTCACGGGATCTTCACTTCTCAAATGTCAGTCTCCTATTCTGACATCATTGATAACGTTAAGCCCTTCTCAGTTACAATTCCAAAATGAAAAAGATAAAAAAACGTTTTAATGAACTGTCTTCTCAAATTTGACCGAGGTAGATACATAGAATATAACTGAGATTCGAGACTGATATTTTCGTTGGAATTTTGGACATATTTGTTGATGAATACACGCCGGTAGAATCGATCAGTCATCATCAGAATTCGAAGACCACACACGTCTTTATCAATTACTTCTTCATCAAGGGATGCTTCCGAAAGGATTATGTTCCGCATTCCATTTATTTTTCTAATCTCCACTTGTTTTCCACCATAACTTAAGATGGCTTTATCTGTTTTTTTTTTTCTTTCTTATTTCATCACTCTTGCACAGACACATCCTGCTTCAAGGGGTCTCTCTCTTTGAGAAATGAAATATTTATTATCCGTTGCAGTCTCCGTTGTTTTGGTTACAGTAGTAACGTTGGCATGGAGAATTCTGAACTGGGTATGGTGGAGGCCAAAGAAGCTGGAGAGATATCTGAGACAGCAAGGTCTCTCGGGTAAACCTTACAGGCTTCTGTATGGGGACTTGAAGACGACCTCAATTATGCTAAAACAAGCAAAATCCAGACCCATCAATCTCGGTGATGATATTACACCACGTCTTGTTCCATTCCTCCATAAACTGGTTAAAGATTATGGTATGCCAATCTCCATTTTCTCTTATAACTTTAATTTTCTCTTTCAGGTTTGCAATTATCTATAGTGCATTGAAGTTAATATTTGTATGTTATATATGTGTGGTCAAAATTTATTCTTTTCTTGTATTTCTTTTTTTCAGCAAAAACTAAATGAAATTTGTGTTTAGGAGAAAATCCTGATCCTAATTTGATACTCAGCATACTTCTTGTACATGCCATATGTTTTTTAATAACTTTAGAATTAGATTATGAACACTGATGAACTGTATCTTCTACTAAGATTTGTGCATATTTTGAAAAAAAATGCAGGTAAGAATTCTTTTATGTGGATAGGGCCTGTACCGAGGGTGAACATCATGAATCCTGATCAAATAAAAGAGGTATTTACAAGGACCAGTGATTTTCAGAAAACCAGGTTGAATCCACTGGCCAGGTTGCTGGCAAAAGGACTTGCAACCTATGAGGGTGAGAAGTGGACTAAACATAGAAGGATTATCAATCCAGCTTTCCATCAAGAGAAGCTGAAGGTCAATGTCTTTACAATATATATAAATATTTTTCTATCTGCTCATCTCATTTATTGTAAAATTTTACGATTATATTTGTTGACGGTTGTTTTTCTATTGAAATTGAGAATGCATACTTCCACTGCCGTCTATCGCTTAGAACTAAGTAACAAGGTTGTTGAGAATATCTTAACTTCAAAGTGTGAATGCCAGTGTGCGCTCAGTGCTTTCTTACAGAACATAATGAAGATTTTTTCGACAACTTTGTTACCAAATTCCAAGTGACAAGTCCTTTCACTTTCAATCAAAAAACAACATTAATAGTACAGAATTCACTGTTTTCTTGCTAGTATAAACTTGACAGGACAAAAAATGTAAATATTTGACAAACGATGCTTAGTGCTTACTATTTTATTTTCTGTGTACATGGTACAGCTTATGTTACCTGCATTCTATGAAAGTTGTAATGAGATGATTTGTAAGTGGGAGAATTTGGTCTCGGGGGAGGGATCCTGTGAATTGGATGTATGGCCATATCTTGTTAATTTAACTGGCGATGTTATTTCAAGAACTGCATTTGGAAGCAATTATGAAGAAGGAAAGAAAATATTTCAACTCCAAACTGAACTTGCGGAACTCACAGTGCAAGTTATGCGGTCGGTTTACATTCCAGGATGGAGGTACTTATATATATAGACCATAGTTATTTGCTTTAGCTCAAAGTGTTACATAATTTAACATGATCGTGTTTTAATATTATAATTTTGTAAGAAAACTAATATTTCAGATAATTGATACTGCTTATATATATGTAGATTTTTGCCTACTAAAAGGAACAAAAGAATGAAGGAAATTGACAAGGAAATTCGAGCTTCACTCCTTGGCATCATAAAGAACAGAGAGAAGGCAATGAAAGCAGGAGAAGCTGCGAAAGATGATTTATTAGGCATACTTCTGGAATCCAATTTCAGAGAGATTGAAGAACATGGAAACAACAAAAATACTGGAATCGCTATCAATGATGTGATTGAAGAATGCAAGCTATTTTACTTCGCCGGGCAAGAGACCACCTCAGTTTTGCTTGTTTGGACTCTGGTTTTGTTGAGTATGCATCAAGATTGGCAAGCTCGCGCAAGAGAAGAGGTTTGCCGAGTCTTTGGCAATAACAAGCCTAACTATGATGGGTTAAATCACTTAAAAATTGTACGTACCACGAAAGATTTAACAAAAATTTTCCTTCCTTTAATTTATTCTTTAATATGTTAATTTTGATTTTAAATGCTCAGGTTCCGATGATATTTTACGAGGTTCTTAGATTATACCCACCAGCAGTTGTTCTTACTCGAGCTGTTCACAAAGAAACCAAACTTGGAAACTTTTCGCTGCCTGCTGGATCGGAGGTGTTATTGCCGATCATCCTGGTTCATCATGATAAGGAATTTTGGGGTGATGATACAATGGAGTTCAAACCAGAGAGGTTTTCGGAAGGAATTTCAAAGGCGACGAAGCATCAAGTTTCTTTTTTCCCTTTCGCTTGGGGTCCTAGAATATGCATTGGACAGAACTTTGCTTTGATGGAGGCAAAAATGGCTTTGGCATTACTTCTACAGAAGTTCTCGTTTGAGTTATCTCCATCCTATATTCATGCTCCTCGTCTTGTTCTCACTGTTCATCCCGAATATGGTGCCCGCTTGATTTTGAAGAAACTATAGAATATGAAAGCTGTCTATTGTGACAAATAACAGTTGGTATAAAAAT